TAACTCTAAATCTTTGAAGTTTGAAGATCTTTGAAGCTCCGAGTTTCAAAATTGCCAAAGCTTCGAATCTTCGAAAGTATCAAAAACAACAGTGGTAGTAAAAAGTGGTAAAAAAACAAAAAAAAAAGCAGGGAGCAAAAAAGAGTACACTGACTTAAATAGATTAGACTTAATTCGCGTCTTGATACTCTTGATCTTTCATTTAACTCGCAATCTGCGACACGACATTGTACAACATCTCGAAATTAAACTTTCTCTCGAGGCGCATGATTAACTCGCTCGGCTGTTCAGTTTTATTTTTTAGGGGCCTCTTCGAAGCTCCGATCCTTAAACGGATGCGGTTTCAATGGGACGTAAATCAACGCGCAAGGTACAAGCGGTAACATTGGCTCTCGCCATGATAATAGAGACGAGATGAGGCTGGTCGTGCGGCAAAGATAAAGATCGCAACGCGTATAATCCGCCGCGCGGCACGCCGTTATCTACGACAGGAACTGCATTCGGTCGTAAGATTGTTTACCTGGGTCGGCACTTGACAAAGGGACACGGCGTCGATCATTAGCAGCGTCTAGGCAAACAGCGCGTACATGCCAGATCGCGCGTACTCGCGGAGTACATACGACGACGGCGCGAAGTATGCGAGGTTTTCGAAAGCGGAAAAAAGAGATCTCTACGTGCGTCGGCACGGATCTCTTCTGACGAAACGGTTCTTGCGCTGAGATTAGGCGAGGCAAACGCGAAAACTGGAACCGGAAAGAAAAGAGCGGACGTCCTTCGCGAAGCCGAGGCCGCGGCTTTTGAAACTTCAAACGTTCACGATGAAGTTATATACGTTCTCACGTTTCGCTTCTCTTACGTACACACTATAATGTAGAATAAAAATATAATGTAAGCCTCTAAAACTGACGGTGGGTTTATTGAAGTCAATCTCTTTATCAAAGAAATTACGAAAATATAAAATTTTTTTGTCAAATAAATTAATTTTCTTTACGTCTGAAAATTTAGATTCTTTTTATCAATCCTCTCATATAGAATTTTTTCCTCTCATGTAGAATTTTCCGTCTTCACGGAAAGAATAGTTTTGTTGAAGTATCTAAAATTTAGCTAAGATTCAAATTTGAAAATAATTTTGTTAGCAATTCAAAAACAATTCAGCTTATAGAAATGTTAAAACTTGTTGTATTGCTTGTCATAGATTTTTACGTAAATATATTTAAGGCAAATGTATTACATTTAAGATTAATTTCAATCTCGGTTCAATTCTCACTCATCTTTTTCTAATTTTAAGAATCATAAATTCTAGATAAACAATAAGTTAAAAGAAGATTAAAATTAATCATCTCACTAAATTGATTTAGTTAAATGAACAGTTTTTTTTTCTCATCGTCAGGACATATATCATATGCACAATATTAACAAAGCATACACGAATAATGTAAGGCGGAATAGGATAAAACAAATAAAAATGCGCGCACGAGAGATGCGTGCGACGCGATACGAGAGGAGAGGAAAAAAAGAAAAGAAATAGAGGCAGAGCGAGATCGAGGGATTAAGGACCCTCCCCTGGCTTTTTTCCAGGCGCGCGCGTTTCGTGCGGAGCGTTTTACGAGACTAATGATCTGGACGACCACGCGACGTGTCACGCGTCTCCCCCTGGAACGGCATTGTCGTGCTTTTTCATCGCACAGCTCCGGACAGCTCGCGTTTCAGTCCGCGCGCGACGCGGGTGCCTATACGTGCAAAGGCTAATACCTTTTTCAGCCCGGTCGGATGGTCAACGAACCTGGGGCTTTCGCCCTTTCTCCTTCCCGCGAAGGTCCGCGCGCTCTCGTTTGTACTTTCACGTACGGAACGTTAAAGTTATACATTTCCCGTCTGATTTACGGGCAATCTATAAATACCGGCGTACATCGGCGTGTGCGAATCAATGGAGTGTACTACGTGTACACGCGTGTGTTTGCTGCCTCCGTGACTGCGAGGACGTCGGGATTTACACCACCTGCCTACCCTTGAAGAGTTTCGGAGTAGCGGGAATACTGCTGCTTTAATAATTCGCAAAATCTATTTTCGTACGATTACGACGCTCGTCTGGGGTTAACTCCAGTCGGGAAAGTCTTTATCCGTGCTTTTCTTTTTCCCTTGCGAATGTAATTTTATCTATAGAAGATAATAGCGCGGGTGAATTGCACTAAGTCTGGTTCATTCGATCTAGATTATTTAAATATAGCTCGCACACTCGCGCGACAAGTAGATATGTTGTAATATCTAGAGGCACGCAACTAATTGCCGGACAATTGCCAGTGCCATTATCAATAATTCTATCAAGCTGTTGTCCGTATGTTAAAAGTCCGTGTTAAAATTGTGATTTTACACACCGCGTTGCGGCACTGGTTATAGTTCTTTTAGAATACCTAAGTTGTTCAAATATAAATATAAAATATAAACTAATACGTAAGCTAAAAGTTTTAACTTCTACAGAACGTGAAAGTCATTATAGTGACAATGAAATATTATATTTTAAGACAAGAGAAATATAATGAGAAATTAATGAGAAAGAGAGAGAGAGAGAGAGAGAATTATGTATAACAAATCTGTAAAATTTTAGAAATACATCTCGCTCAGAAAGATCTAAAATTTTACTGAATACAGATTTACAAATAATTTTGTTGAGCCATTAAAATAATTATGTTAGAAAAATGAATAATGCTGTAAAAAACTTTGATATTTTATATAGCAACCAGTTTGAGTTTTCAATAAATTATTTTATTCAATAAATTTATTTTCAGATCTGCATCCAGTAATATTACAGACCTTTGAACATAAAAAGATTGATACCTTATAGATAATAGTTTGAATAAACCATCGATATGACGACTCACTATTCAGATGAATAAATAGTTTCATGACTGTACTTTAGATAGGTATTTGAAAGAAGTGACAATATAAATGAGAGTTGTAGAAGCGAGCTCTCCATCTTCCAAAATTCATGTCAAAAAATTCTTTCGCAGATTCGGACATTTTTCGTGAGATTTTTGCCGTCATGAAAACCAGCGTAAAAACGTGAAACCCGAGATACGGTTGCTGGTAAAATTCAACCGTCCTCTGGCGTAGAGAGGGCTGCAGAGCTGACGTTATTCAAGTAATCTCGACAACGCGTCGTCCTCGATCAACGAACTCGAAGGCGCGAATGAGCGCGACATCGTCACCGCGTTCGTCTCTTATCGTCTCTGTAATAATTTAGGATTTATCGATCTTTTTTTCCCACCGCCGAGACGCGAATCGTCGATACGCACAAGGCGAGACTCTCCTACCTTTTTTTTTACGAGATCGATTTTAAATAGTCTGGCATTGAGCCGTTTTTGACCATTCGCTTTTAAAACCAGATGCTGCTTCTAGATCATTTTCTTTAAATGAATTCATAGATTCTTTTTCATCCAAAAATAATTCTATCTACGCGAAACTCCTTTACGTAATTTTTAAAGAATCTTATACTAATTATATAAAAAAAAAAATGGTTTCAGTCAAATTGGTTAAAACTGTGATATTTTGTAGATTATGAGATGCTGATGAAAATATATAACTATAAAAAAATGAACAGATTTTACTGTAGTGCCATGAACATTGCTGTTTTCTTAATAAGGCTGAAAAGTAGTTTATCTACTAGGCTATTCATTTTTTATAAATGTACTTTTTAAATTCATTGGAGTGAGAGGTTCACTCCAAAAAATTCAGAGACTATCTTAATACTTTTATCAATTGAGTCATCTTATTATTCTGTGCAAAAGTATTGAGGTACAGTTACCATTAAGAACGAATAGTAAATAAAGTTACCTTTTAGTCCGATTAAACTCAAAATAGAAACTTTTGAACAGTGCTACAACAAAATCTATCCATCCTTATAGTTACGCCTGAATTTAATCAGCTTTTCATAATTTATAAAATATCATAGTTTCAGTCAATTTGATCGAAGTTACTTTTTCCAGATGACTTGTGCGAAATTTTAAAATAAAAATTACGCGCTGTAAAATAATTAAAATTCTTTAAGATTAAAGATTACGTTCGTGCTATTAAAGGCGATTTCGTGATCTACGCGCAATATAAAAAGACTATTTCGCAAAGGCGTCTCGTCAGACTCGTAATAGTTGTAAAAAAAAGATTTTATTGCCCGGCAATCTTTATTCATAAAAATTTTCGAATTATTGAAATAATCCGCGGCTCATAAAAGCGCGAGGAATTTGGAACGCCTTATATATCGTTGATATTTTTGCATGAATTTATGATACCTAAACGCAGCGCCGTGCTTTCGCAATACACCATATATTCTCATTCATTCTGTCTTCATGTATCACTCATACTGGCAGAACCAATACAAAGTATCATATTGTAATTTTCAGAAGAGATATTTCGATAATAATCTTCTTGTTCTTCTTTCGAATTACAATAGAAATTAAGTGTTTAGCAAGATAAATATACATAAATACAAAATTTGGGATTGACAATAAATTAATATATCTATTAAAAAATCTTTGATTATATAGCAAGTAAAATAGCATTTTAAATCAAAAGAAAATGTCGAGAACTGCAGTTACACTCTTAAACTTGTAATATCAAATTATACCTAACTGATTTGAGTTATTTTTAAATATTCCAGTAAGTTGTCACTGTTTCTATAGATATTCTACATTAATTTAACTAAAACGATAAAGTTTAACAATCGAACTAAAAAATGTATATATTATATATACATATATAATAATTTTACTCAAATTCAGTTTATTATTTAATGTATACGTTATAATAAACTCTTCACTTTCAAATGATCATGGATAAAAGTTAATTAGATTATTTTTTTAACCACATGTATTCGTATCATTTGCACTTGGAAATTAAAAATAACAAAATGTTATTTAATTCAAGGAATTGGTTTAAATCTACTTGTTTAATATTGAATAGTATACGATACTTTGTATTCTCGCCAATGTCGTGTTGGTAAAGCATACCTTTGAAGGATCAGGTATCCTCTGGAGCCCGAGGCCTTGTATAATGCTCCTCCTGATGATCTCCAGCTCATCATCGCCGAGGCTGTTCCTCGGCATCCCCAGCTCTTTCTCTTCAACATCGTCCTCGAGAACTGACGATGATGACGGCGCGGACAGTACCATGTCGCAGAGCAGACTCGTCGCAAGTAGTCCCAGCAGAAAAGTTCGCTGGACGGGACCGATTCTCGGCAATTTCCAGCGCGTGTCCGTCTTGGTCCGCCACGCACGTCCACCGGGATCGAGTTTCGCGGGAAATCGCACCGTAGACGACGCGTCTCTTCGGCGTACAATCTCCTCAGCGGGAACGCACGGCTGCTCGTCGTACGAGGATTCGACTGTATCGATTTCGATCAACCTGGCGGAATCACTGGTCCGAAGGTTCTCCGTGTTAACGTCGCTGTCGATCTCGCGGACAGACGATCCTCCGGTCACTTCATGGGGCACGATACTCGAAGTGGATAAGATACGTTCGTTGCACTTGGGAAAGTCCGTGGTACCGAAGAACGAAGCCTCGAAAAACCAATCTTTCCTTCCTATCGTAATACTGTCCACCGTGCTGCGGAATATCTCCTCACCTCCCGCGACTGACCTGCTGCGAGCCAGCAGGGCGCTATCAGCTCGTCGATTCCGCCGCTCGACGATAAGGTCACGTATTACCCGGGCTGGTCCGCGCCGCGAGAGAAACGTGGTCGCGTCGACCGAGACGCAACAAGTGCGGCGTTCGTCGTCGGCAGTCCTGACGTTCCGAAATCCATCCGTCGAGTCCGTCGCATCGAGAGCGCAACTTCGCTTAGCACGATCGCCGATAACGTCGATTCTTGGCGATCCGCTCGGGTCGCGAACCGTCATTCGGACGGCATCGTCTTTATTTTCCGCGTGCCATGTATTTCTACGTGGACGCGCGATCGCGGCTAAAGCGTCCCGACGTCTCCGACGTGCGATGAGATCGCTACGTGCGCTGCTGACCGGCTGCGACGTGTCAGCAATCCCCGAGCGCCTCCGAGCGTATTCTTCTCTCGTCGACGCGATAAGGAATCGACGATCGCGATCGGCGGCAGCGTTATCGGCGATCGCGCCGTTTGTCGTGCTACATCGTGCCTTCGCACCACCGACTACCGCCGCCGCCGCCGCCACCGCCGTCGTTGTCGTCGTCGTCGTTGCTCTCTCCTGGTGCTCCTTCTGGTTGTCCGCGTTGTTGTGAATAACACCACTTCGAGGGATTATTGGGAGCTTGTCCATAGCCGAGGACACAATCTCGTGGCCGGTCTCACGCCGGCTGCTCGAATATTGGAGCGTGGGGTGCTGCTTTGTAGATGTTATTAATTCTTCGATGATATCGATTATTATCGAAGACTTTGGTGAATTCTTTTCTTCTTCTTCTTCAGAAGATCCCTAACTGCTTAAACTGGAGCTCCTAACTCCGAAAACTGCGCTCTTATAATTCTTTAAACTAGAAATTCTAACTCCTTAAATTGGAGCTGCTGGACCTCCGACCAGTGCGGACAAATTCCTTGACGATACTCCTAGATCCGGTTGGTACCGGCTGATTCCGGTTACTTCCGCATTCACGGCGTTCTCTCCGCGGAGAGTCGTCTTCACGTCCGAGAGTGAGAGGATTTTGTGTTTTTTCTGGTACGATCAAGTGACGGTGTCAATCGATCTCTCAGGAGTCCACGCGCGACATTCTAAAAGCGCGCCACCGAGACGAAGATCAAAGCCGGATGTTCAACCGGGGGAAACTTCACGTCGTGTTTTCTCTTCCAGTTGGTAAATGAAGACATCGCGTAAAACGTCGCGATTGATCGACGATGTAATTAGTCCGCGGAGTAATATCGTAGAGAGCGGGCCTTTTTTTTTTTTGCCGTCGATGAATTTTGCGCGGAAGATCGAAGATGAGCTTAAAATACTTCAGTTTTTCTTCCTGGCTACTACCGTCTCTCTTCTTCCTTTTTCTCCTTCGGCCGCAGGAGGAGGAAGGAGAGCACGAGGAGACCCGCTTCGTACGAGTGCCGCGTGCCGACTGCTCGCCGCTATGATATCGCGTGTGTATGTATATATCCAACGAGTTCGCTCCCTCCGCGGCGCGTCGCGCAATGCGCGCGCGAGGAGAGCGAGTGAGAGCGAGCGAGAGCGACAGAGAGAGCTACAGAGAGCGACAGAGAGTTGAACTGATTGTGAGCAGAGCCGAGCTAAGCGTTAAAGGTGTCGCCGAATGGGGTGAATTTTCCACGTAAGAGTAATACGCGTAGGACATCCTGATCTTCGATCATCCGCAATTCCGATTCCTAGGAGACATTTAAAGGACGTCCGGATTTCATCCAATGAAGGCCGTAAAGAGATAAATGCATTCGGCAAGATGAATCTCCGTACGTATTTAAATCCTAATATGTACAATTATAATTTTTATTTTATTAGGAAGATAACGATTATCTTATCGTTAAAATTGTTATCTAATGGTCGTTCATGTCTCTAATTTTTATCACTTTTACAAGTATATAAAAATCATTAAGTAATCTTTATATATATATATACTTTGACATTTTTAGATAGTATTTGAAAAGTAGTAAATTAAAATAATTGTGTATAAACGTTATAATTTCTTGATGCAAGTATTTCTAAGAAAAAAGATATGTAGGATATAAATAACTCAAGCGTATAAACTAAAAGTCAAATATTAATTGTTAAAAGTAAGCTATTGTAATTGACAAATCTTCATAACTCAAATAAAAGAGATAATCAGTAAAAATTATACATACATCGATTATTAATTATATACAATTTTATAGTTAATGATTTATATATAAATTTTTAAACAAAGTGTGATATTTCTTCGTCAAATTTATAAATCTATGTATGTACGTTCTTTTTTTTGCTTTAAAAAAAGCAAGAAATTTATCTTTTTCTTATTAAAATTTTAGGCAGCGTATAAAATTGGAGTTTGTCAAAGTAAAAATGTTTCTCGAGTCAACTCTACAAAGCTGAGAGATACTGTAATTAGTTATGTCTCGTATAAAACGAATGCGAAGAATTGTCAAGATAAAGAATACGTAACATTTGACGATTCGATTTCAGTCATTGAATTCCACCTCGAGACATCATCGAGATGGCACGTCCGTCTCCGTCTGTGTCTCGAGTGTCCCTCCGGTTTTTTCGTTCCCTCGCGATCGCAGAACTCGTCTCCTCGCGGCGGCGGGCCAGGTAAAGGGCCCCAGCCGGTGCTTCTCGGAATTTCGTGCACCGACTGCAACCGCTCGAACTGAGTCGGCGAGCGAGATCCGAGAAAACGACTCCTGACTCTCTCCCGAGCGAGTGATCTTCTTCTTTCTTCCGTTTCTCCCTTTCTTCTTCCCTATCGAATCTCCATCTTCCCATCATCACGTCTTCCGACCTCTCGCGAGTACCGTTCTTCTTCTGTACTTCAGACTATCGCTTTGTCTATCCGCTCGAACTCCCTCATCGTCTCGAGATGCTGACTACCTCTCTTCTGTCCTCAATGGCAAAAATTTATCTTCTGCGAAGACTTCTGCACCAAAATCTAAATCTGGGTCATCGATCGAATTTTATTCCTCTGGTATCGCTGCGATTTATATATACGATTGTAGTAAACAAATTTGCAACTATTGTAAAATTCTTTACTTTAGTACTGTTAAATTCATAATATTATGAATTATATTCAATTTGAGTTATTTTTAATCATTTCTAAAGATTGCCACTGCTTCTATAATACTTATAACATTGAATTGGGAAAAGTCCTTTTACATATATAAAAAGACTCTTCTACAACCATTTGTTGCGAAATTTTCGTTACAATTATATCACTCGATAGAGCAAAGTTTCAGCTTTAAGAATTTTAAATTTTTTTTATGGAAAGCTTCAAGCTTTCATGATAGATAGACGAAAATTTTTGCGAACCTTTTTGGGCACGTAAAAGATCTACAAAGTAAAAAAATTTTTAATTTTTAAAATTCGTATAAGTAAAAGCAGCGTACCTCCTGACGCGTCGCGAAGCCTTAAGTGCATCGGCGTCTAAATTTCAATTACGCTAAATGAAATGTAATAAGGCGATCAAATCCCCACCTCTTATCGTATAACCGTTAAATATATTATATACGTACATCATTCGAAGTTTAATTATAGAGGCGTGATCGAGAGACATAAAGCAAAGATGGCGAATTTTCAGAGTTGTTACAAATTTCTCATCCTAAAATTCTATAATTTTTCATGATTTCCAGACAAAATTTTCAATAATATTTTGCAATTTTTAAATGTTCGTCTTGATTTGGAAACTGTTAAATATTTTATTGAGAGATCAATTTAACACATAGAAATGTTAATTACTATTAATGCTACTATATATATATATCCTGCTTGCATTTTGTATTCTAAAACTGCATGTATACATGTAAGTGTGAGTATACATATATTAAACTATTTTAAGAAGAATTTTTATTTTCCAAACACAATTTTATACAAAATTCCCTGATTTTTTTTATTTTGCTGATCGTTTTTAATTTTTCTGATTTCCAATTCTGGTTTTAAAAATGGAAATCAAAACAGGAAACTGACAAAACGACCCTTCCTTATGTCTACGGAAATACGGGATAGGAATTATACATCCGTGCTGACCTCCGACCCGTGATTATTCCAATCGCGTAACCCCGTACGCGCGCGCGTCTTCGATTTTCTCATTAACGTTCCACTTAGCCTTTCTTCCGGTGATAACGAGCGGCAGGTCGCAGCCTCAGCTTTCGTCAGGTTTTACCACTTATCTTCTGCGACGCCATTTTTCTATTTATGTCCGTATACAGAGTGCGGAGCTCCGTTAAGAGACAATCGCGAGAGACTATGATGCGAGTACTTGCATCATGACGAGAAACGATTCGCTGTTTTGCGACATCGCGACATCTCGATTCCCGCGTTTCGACTAAGGACCCAAGATCTTCAGATGCGGTTTCCGAGAATCGATTTCTCCATGGAATGTGACAAACATAAGTCAGAACAGGATTCTGCTAAAAAAAAAATTAATGCGAACTTTCGCTCTTGAAAAGATCTGTTTATTAATGTATTCTTCACAAGAAGAATACATTTTTATCGTAAGACAATATCGTAAATATAATCCATAAATTAAATTATAAAATTAAAGAAATATAAGTTTATATAAGGATATACCAGTTCTTACATTAGACCAAGAAATTAAGTGAATACGTCTGAGACTTTTTTTTACAATCAGCTTTGCACAGAAGTCAACTTGCTGAAAATAATTTATATAATGAAATAATTTATAAAAAAAATAATTTATATATGACAAGTTTACTTTCAAATCCACGTGTGTATGTATAATAAGTATCTTCATTTATATGTGCAATTTAGTTTTTTGTATAAAATTTAGTTTTTTTATACAAAAAACTAAATTACACATATAGATGATATATATAAAAAATAATACATTGTATTCTCTCTCTCTCTCTGTATACACAAAAATGGATTTACACATTTAAACGTGTTGTTTAAGTTATTTTTACACGGAAAACTAAATCATGCACATATATGGACGCATTAATTGCACACTCGAGTTATACTCGAATCCAAGTGTATAATAACTTAATAAGTGTCTTTATATGTGTGTGATATATGTGATTTAGTTTTCTATGTAAAAATTATAATACATATATTATTATTATTATTTAATGTATAGTATTACGTGTTATTTTTACATATAAAATTAAATCTATCTATCTACACACACACATACACACACACACACACACACACACACACACACACACACCACGCGTGCGCGCGAAGATTAATTACACAATTGGATTTGCAGTGTACATTGCATAGTCTCC